GGACACTGAATTCAGACAGGGATTAAGAGTTGAGAATGGTACAACAAATCGTCTTCTTTCTCTAAAAATTAAAGAAAGGTCAAAGCTTCTGCGCTTCGCGCGTAATGGGGGGGGGGGGGGGGAGGGGGAGGGGACAGCGAGCTGCCCGAACATGAGTTTTTGATATCTTTTCTCGTTTATTTTGGTGATAAATAACACTGTCACAAAATACATATTATGCTCAAATTGTTGCTCGCTCCCTTCACTCACTATTTCGAGGCAAGAGGCTATAGCCCCCCCCCCCCCCCCGATGAAAATGTCAAAAATTGTACCGGTATGGTGCTTCTAATATGACCTTGTCAGTATTGGTATGTTGAGTTGAAAAAACGGTCTGCGCAATTTTCAAATTTCCGGCCCCCCCCCCCCCCTATTGGAAAATCCTGGATCCGCGCCTGCTGACCCCAACACGCAATGCCCCGCTAAACACGCACTGATCTCTGTTGTATTACACTCAACGTCATTTTAAAGAAACTGCTCGCTCTTTCCTGTGCCATATCTAGATCTTCCCCTTCACTACCATTGAATGTACAAACCCCCACCCCCAGAAAAAACCCTCTAACATACTCCTCCTTTTCTCATTTTTCTTTCCCTGTTTCGCTATCCATCTTGAGCTATATCTCTACCTCTCTTATGCTCTAAATCTATCTTTCAAGCTTGTCCCATTGTCTATTTAGCTATCTACTTCAACATCTCTACAGCCTCCCCTCTTTCTCTCCTTCTTCCCTCTTACTGGTACATACTGGCTGTAATGAGATGAGTCAATGTATCCTGAAGTCAACAGTGAAATAGCGCCACCTTGTGGTAGACTTCTAACAGTGAAAATACATGTAGTATAAAATGAAGAGCTTTTATAGCGCTCTCTTAGAGCACATAACCTGGTTGTAACTATTGTCATTTTAAGCCTCCTAAGTATAACTAGTATGTAACTCCTGTATTAAGGATATGATATTTACACTGGCTATCCATCTCTAATCTCTACATCTCCACCTCTCGTATCATTATGCTCTAAACCTCGCCTTTCTTCTCTCATTCACTGTAAATTGATACCCCCTCCATCTCTTTCCCTATACATCTATACATCCTCTTCCCTAGCTCCCTCTATCTCCCACTCTCATGCACCTCATCTCTCTCTCTCTCCCTTCCTCCCTTGATCCTCCCCTCACTCTATCTTCCACTCTCATCTCTCCCTCTCCCGTCCTCCCCTTCCTCCCACCCACTCTCCCTCAGGATTCAAACCTTATTAATAAATACTAAATTCAGATTCAGAATAAAAAATACAAGAAATACTTTAATCTTTGGCACATACTCGGTACACATAAACATGGTAAGCACAAACATGATTGTTATGAACATATTTCAAATGTAATGAAATTTTAATTTCAGTTAATTTGGTATTCTTTGCATATCATAAGTACAAGGTTGTAAACTTGAAAACTATAAGATCAAACAATAAGGCCTTGAGCATAAGGTACACAAAACTTGGTACACATCTAATCAGAGGCCCGATAGTTAAAACGAATGGAAGAAGAAAAACAACAATCCTATTAAGTACTGGAATAATCCCTGAATTAAATATAAATATCACTCATTCCCGTCAACTTTTATCTTCAGGAAGATAGACAAATTCTATTTCTGTTTATAGTATATACAAAGCATAAGGCACACACAATTTGGTACACATCTACTGATAATTCAAAATGAAAGAAGATGAATAAAAAACAAAAACATGAAGTACTGACAAAATCCCTGAATTGTAGATGTACATACATGTAGAGTTGGGCCAGATATAAACTACTTCACTCATTCCTGCCAACTTTTCACTTCAGGAAATTAGACAAATTTCGTCTCTGTTTGTAGTATATACAAAGCATATGGCACAACAAACTTGGTACACATCTACTGATAGTTGAAATAGAAGAAGACAAAGAAAAAACAAACGTTATCAAGTACTGGAATAATCCCTGAATTGTACATACATGTCCAGTTGGGCCTGGTATACATTATCACAACTTCACTCATTCCTGCCAACTTTTCACTTCAGGAAGATAGACAAATTTTTGTCTCTGTTATAGCATATACAAAGCATAATGCACACGAAACTTGGTACACATCTACTGATACTTAAACATGGGAGAAAACAAAGAAAAAACAAACATTATCAAGTACATACATGTCCAGTTGGGCATGATCTACATGATCACAACTTCACTCATTCCTGTCAACTTTTCACTTCAGAAAGATAGACAAATATGGTCTCTGTTAATATATTGAGTATATACATCACTAATCACTCTGAGACGAGTGACTCCTGATGGGAATGGGTACAGTTAAGAAAATCTGGGTAAAATGAATTTCTTTAGGGAGCCAACTGTGTATCCTCAACTTGAGAGACCCTGGAAAGAATGCATATAATTAGGTACAACATGGTAATGTAAATACTTCATAAAATAACAGTTACAATACAAAAACAACCTCATAGTCATTATTGCATACTGGGGCTTCTTTCATTTTCAACCAAATAGGATAGCATATTTAAATATTTAGCACATACATGTATGTTTGAAATTATGGTATTTTATTGCTAACAATAATATGCTTAAAGGTACTATGTCCCATTTGCAGGCCAAAAAATGAAAAGGTTAAATTCCAATGGCATTTGAAAAATAATACTAATTTAGAACTCTCCTTAAAAAAGGGGGCTTTAAAATGTCTTTAAGTGGGAAAATAAAGACTATTAGTTGTCAAATCGACTTAGGAGCTATAGAGCCAATAAGTAATAGTCTTGATTTTCAGACCATGTACCGCATGGTCGTACGTTTTATGCTGCGCAAAGATTCAATCAGTTTAATTTAGGCCATTACAAGAAGTGGGTTATTGATGTAGACAAATCCTTTACAGCTCATTTTATGTATGTTATTACCAAAGAAGAAGAACAAGCCAGTCAGTCACTCAATAGTGTCTGACAGTGAAGTCTAGCAAGTAAACGGGATTCCTTGAATAATTTGAATATTAGGACACTGCTAACGTTTAAATTTCACAGATAGGACATACCTGACATATTCATTATTCCTGCAAAATTTCTACAGATTTTGAGGTTGGCTGCAAAAGGGACATAGCATCTTTAACCCTATTTAGCCCGGGGGGGGGGGGGGGCTTGAGAAGCCCCCCCCTCGACATTTTTTGCGATAATTTTTTAACGCAAGAAAATCTTGCACTGAAATTTTGTGACTTTTTTCTTTCGAGTCTTGCGCAACTTTTGAAAGAAATTTTTCGAAAATCGGACCTACCATTACAAAGTCACGTGTCCTTTTTTCTTCGCATGTCAGCCCGAAAATTGCTCATTTTTGTGATTTGTGTACAAAACATATGGAAATCTCATTTTTCAAATAAAGAGGTAAAACATTGGTTATTTGGTCTTGTTTAGATTTTAGGTGTTTATTTTGGGGTCAAAATAGTTGAATTATAGTTCGAAATGAAATAAAACAACAAAAACAATAAAATACATAAGTTAAAAAAACAAAGAAATACATAAGAAATTATCAAAACATTAGATAACATAAGGAATAACCCTGGTTTTTCAAATTTTTGTGTTTAAATGTTTGTGCTTAAATATGAATAATGTCTGATTTATGGGCAAAAATGTGAATTTAATGACCTTATTTGCATAAATTACCATAAATATGCAAATGAGTGAATTTTTCAAAAAAATTGAAATTACCATAGTATTCTATACACTTCACTTGAAATGTATGCAAATTTTCGCGGCGATCGGGCGTTTCACGGCCGAGATCATAGGGGGGGGGGGGCCTGAGAAGCCCCCCCCCCCCCCCCCCCCCCCCCGGGCTATGCAGTTTCAAAATAGACCGGGCTAAATAGGGTTAAGGCATGTCCGGATTTAGTAAAACGGAATAATCGTAATATATCTATCTGTCAGCCTCACAAGGAAATATCCTTCAATTAAAGTCAACTATTTATAATGATATGTGTTCCAGGCTTCTTGTGAAGGACACACAATTTACTAATACCAAAATTCTGTATTCCACTAAGACAGTTAAAACTGACCCAGGGTCTAAAAAAACAAGATAAACGCTCTTGGCGGTCTCGCCTGCATTACGCAATTCGATATGATGAAAAATGAGGTTGGAACATTATAGGCAGGGTGGCCCATTAGCAGGCTCCAAAAAATGAAATCCTCTGAATATAATCAGCATTTTGAAGTGAATATTGACTAAGAATCACCAGAAGAATTATTTACTGTTAATTGTACCACGATCGATAACTTACTTGAATGAAATATGAACAAAGTAATAATTTTTATTTTGTATTAATTCTCATATTAAGTTGTGAAAACATAATCTAAGTCTACTGACCTAAAATGACCTTTGACCTTGTGACCTGGAATTTGTGTCATATGACTTGTGATACTTGATACCCTTGGGTACAAGTTTCATGGAATTTGAACAAACAATTTGAAAATATGCTAAAAATTCAAAATCTTGATGTTGATGCCACAACAAAGTCTAAGTTTGTTGACCTTAAATGACCTTTGACCTTTACTTAGTGACCTGAAATTCTACTCAAATGATTGGCGATACTTGATAACCCTATATTCCAAGTTTCATTGACTAAGAACTTATACTTTAACAATTATATCAAAAATTCAAAAACTTAACCTTAGGTTAAGTTTTCGATGATGATGCCACAACATAGTCCAAGTCTGTTGACCTGACATGACCTTTGACTTTGACCTTGTGACCTGAAATTCTACTCAAATGATTGGGGATACTTGATAACCGTATATTCTAAGTTTCATTGACTAAGAACTTATACTTTAAAAATTATCAACAATTCAAAAACTTAACCTTAAGTTAAGTTTTTGATGTTGACGCCGTCGCCGACGCCGCCGTCACCGGAGAAACGGCGCCTATGTCTCGCTTTTTGCTACGCAGGCGAGACAAAAATTGGAAATTTAGACCTCAAATTAGTTAATAATAATACTAATACTAATATTCTACATTTATATAGCGATTGAAACATCTATGATGTCTCTAAGTGCCCTAAAGAAATGTCATTACTCTGGTCATAATTTTAGGCTTGCCTGCACACAAAGTATCCACATTCTCCACTCTCTGGGGAGAAATTCAGCCAGGTGTCATTTCACGGTTTCTTTGTTAAACCTGCGATTTTGAACAAAAGCCTAAACACAGTGTCACGTTTAAGAGTTCATATTGCCCCAGTTGGAAGTGATTACTATATATACTTCACTAAATCTCCAACCTCTGCATCCTGTAGGATAGTCTTAAGCTGGGCCATATTACCACCTGTCCTTGTCTTCCACTGTGCCAAGCAATCCCTCGTAGCTCTCTGGTAGTCCATGTTAAACTTGGCTAGAATGGCGTCAGCTTGGTCGTAGCCGATGCCAAGATGTGTGCATAGCGTTGCGTAAGACCTGGGAGGCATGTGTTTCGATAGTTTGTTAAGTATTCCATCTGATTCCAGATTAATCCTGAGGAATGAAAGAAGGATTAATACAATCTTTGCAACCGATGATGTCCCTTTATATTTATGAGTGTAAGTGTGGAGCGCCTTGAGTTTCAAATTTTGACAGACATGAGTGCTACTCTAAAATCAACTGTTATCATTATTGTCATTAACAGCATTATTATTATTAATATCTGGATCATAATTTATCATCAGATATTATTATTATTATTATCATTATCATCAGTTATTATCAATAATATTATTGCTATTATTATTATCATTATTATTATCATTAATATTATTATTAATCCATGATTGTTATAGTGGAGTAAAAATAACACATAATTTTACCATAAAGTTACACCAAAACATTTCTACAAATTATGCCCACTTTTAAAAATAGAAATGGGTACAAGGCCTCTATTTTGTGCTTATCGAGCACACAGTCACACAATGTAGCCTACTTTCACGAACACAGGTACATTCTAATTCACATGTTTGCTAACATTAAAAAGACGTTGCCGAAACATATATTATTAACTATTTACAACAGTATTGTTTTACCACATGTCAACTACTGTAATATTATTTGGGGTAATACTTACAAGACTCATTTATATAAAATTCATATTCTTCAGAAACATGCTGTTCGTATAATTTCTAATTCTAACTATATGACTTCAAGTGCTCCTTTGTTTTATGATTTGAAATGTTTGCTAGTCTTTGACCTCATAAAATTAAACAATTTTGTCTTCATGTTTAATTTTCATAAACAAGAGCTCCCATCAATATTTAATAACATGTTTAAAACAAATTCTTTTTACCATTTTTACGAAACCAAAAATAAATCGAACTATCATTACCCCTTTGTACGTACTTCCTTGACCCAACATACTTTAAGATTCCAGGGTATACATGATTGGAATTCCTTACCTTATAATTTAAAAAGTAGTTCAACCCTATCAAAGTTTAAATATTTATGTAAACAGTTCTTGTTTAAACAAATGAAGTGCACTGGGTAGATTTTTCTGTACAAGGTTCTGCCTGCGGTGTGTGTTGGTGTGTCTGTATGCATGTGAATGAATGAGGGTGGGTGTATGTTTGTTTTGATAAGTTTTACAATATTTGTTATAATAATTTGCTTGTATGATTACCTTTGTACAGGGCCCCATTCTCACAAGCTTTGCTTTTCTTGGGGTCCTTCCGATTTTGCTGTTAATTTGTTATGTATTTTATTTTGAATTTTAATGGAAAATAAATGAAATGAAATGAAACATCATGGGGGGGGGGGATTAGGACAATTACCCCCGGAAACTATCCCCCCCAAGGACAATAAACCTTCGCTAAATTACCCCCCCCCCCAGCCCAGAAATACCCCTAGGACAACCACCAGAAGAAAATTACACCCCACCCCCTGTTCATTAAAGGGGGAAGTGTACCCTGATGATAATAAGTTGGTTTCAAATAAAAGCAGAATATTTTTCAGAGAGGTGATAATCCAAGGGGGTAATTTTCGATGGTAATCGTCCTCAGGAGGGGGGGGGGGGGTGTGAGGGTTCGACGTTCTGTACTGACCTTACAGCGGAGTCTGCTATGAGAGTTGGAGGTTCAGGAACCTTCCTTTGTTCCTCATTGGTTGAAGATGATGGCACAGGTGAGCCTTCACCTCTCATGCTCATGCTCTCTGAGCCATGATTGCTAGCTGACTTATCTGACGACCCACTCCCACCACGAGGAGACGCCTCATAGACGGCCTCTATATCCTCACCCGTTGGTTGATTGATCGATCTTGTGAGGATGGCATCGATCAAGTTGGCCGCTGTAAAGGTGCTCCCCTGCCCTGGGTCCTCCCCTTCCTTCTTCGCTTTCGGCTGGGGCTCGAACAGATACGCAAAGAGCTTAGGCGCATCTCCAGTGATTGTCCTAGAACCCACAAAAATTAGCCTACGTATGAACACAGGTACATAATCATTCACATGTTTGCTAACATTATGGGGGGGGGGGCACATTGTTTGTGAACTTTCTTGCTCTTTCGCAAAAAAACATACCCCTATTACCCCTTTTCTAACTCTAATTAGAAATTTGGGGATCACTTTTGGCCATGTTGATAACTCTGCCATAACAACTCTTTTTAAAAGAGAGAAAAAACACAATTTCCTTAATTGTTCATAACAAATTGTGTGACCCCTTTCTGCCTAAAACCGGTAAGCAATGGGCTCTTGATACTACCGTACTCTGTTTTGGGCTTATTGAATACATATTCACAAAACCTATCCTATTTTTCCACCACTTTCTACATAGACCTTTCACAAGTTTCCAAATATTGTGACAATATTATGATCACTTTCTCATGAAATTTATAAACTAACAGATAGTGGATGGTACTCGTTAAGGTGAAAAACAAGAAGACAGCCTTTTTACAAATATTTAAACATTGACAAACATCGCCGAAAATTACCCCCTTTTACACCAAAATCAGTACAGGGCTTGAAGCCAACAGGCTAGCCAGGACACATAGACACCCAAAATCTAAGTCTCGAAATTTGGAAGTTGTAACTCAGGGCTCATGCATACTGACTGTAAAAAGTTAAATCTGGACCATTCAAAAAAAAAGTCAGTGTGGAGCCCTGTATCATGCATACACAAAGTCAAGATGTAGTGTTACCAGTGGGACATTAGGGACTTTTAGATTTGCGTGGACTGAAACGTGTGACGTCTATTCAAGGCAGTGCATTAAAAGGACGTCGATCTTAGCAATCCCCATTGTCTTTGTGCGAATCTAAAAGTCCCTATTGTCTTACTCTACTGATACCAGAGCAACTAGACTTCATACTTTGATTGCTTCTCTGGAATTTCAGGATCATCCTGTGGAACTCTTGACTGAGTAGAAGGAGCTTTCCTCTTGAGAGGCCTGCTCAGACCGCTGCTACCTTCTGCATATGTCTGAGACAATTGACATACAGTATCTGATGTATTACCAACATACTGTTGAGGGTAGTCTGATGGTGGTAACGTCCTTCCAGATTTCAGATTGATCCTGAGGAATGAAAGCATGATTATTACAATCTTTGCAACTTGATGGTACCACCGTGACCGTGAATTTTTGGGTGTAAGTGTGGAGCACCACGAGTGTCAAGTTTGACAGACGCGAGTGCCACACTTAAATCCACTGTTATCATTATTATTATCATCTTTATTATTATTATTATTATTATTATTATCATTATTATTACTATTAATATCATTATAATAATTTGTTATTATCAATATAATCAGTTATTATTATTATTATTATTATTATATATATATATTCATTATTACTATTAATCCATGATTGTTATAGTTATTGGCACGTGACATGATTGACATCCTGGTATAGCTTTTAAGGAACTGCTGTTTGGGATTACTGCAACAAGTAACAAGGAGTAAAAAATAATCCCCTATTTTACATAATAATTACACAAAAATTGTCTACTGACAAAATATGCCCCTTTAAAAAAAAAAAAAGGTTACCTGTAAAAAATGGCTTCTAAATAAAATATTATTTATTTTGCTTATTGCGTACACATTTACACAAAGTAGCCTACTTTCATGAATACAGGTACATACTCATTCACATGTTTGCTAACATCATGGGTGGGAGGGGGGGGGGGGTGACATTTTTGGTAAAATTTCTTGCATTTTTGCAAAAATCCATACCGTTATTCCCCCTTTTTCTAACTCTCATTAGAAATTTTGGGGATCACTTTTGTAAATGTTGATAACTTAAATAACTCTGCCATAACTAGAGAAATCCCTACCTATAAATAACATACTAAAAAAACTTGTAAAAAGAGAGAACAAACACTATTTCCTTTGTTATTAACAAATTATGTATACCATTATAGAGATATAAAGTTTAGCACTGATCTTAAGATTACATTGTGAAACGTGATGCCCTAATTGCTATAGAGCGCTTTTACAAACCAAAACAGAAGCAATTTTTAAAATTAGTTTGATTGTATTAATCCATTAACAGGTTTTGAGTTTGATGGTAATCCATCTATCGGTTCTATCATTCTAATGATCATGGGATCAAAAGCTAATTTTGGATACATAATGAGCCCCATGACCTTTGAAATTGACCTCGTGACCCCAAAATACAATCAGTTCATTGGCTCTGCAAGAAACATACATGACCCATGTTTGGCGGGAATCCATCAATCGGTTCTTCAGATAACCTGATCACGAGAACGGGACGTATGTACATGTATACGGACGGAGGAACAATCTGAAAACATAATGCCTCCGACTACTTTGTTGCGAAGGCATAAAAACCCAAGAAGCACTTGGGAAAAGCTGCTTATTTGACATTATGAAATGGGTTCAAGAAGGTAGCCAATGAGAAGCGTCAAAATTATGGATCACGTGTGCGTTCATTAATTGTTATCATATGCACGGGGAGTGCATTTTGGTGATAAAAACCGTCAATTTCTCGCATTTATATTCATAATGTAGATCCATCTTAGTATAAAACAAATAATACATGTTTTTAGCTCGTGCATTAGTGATATGCACTGCACTTGGTTAAGTCACAATGATACTGGCAATGAACTCGACAAGTCTCATTTATTATCCTACTGTGACTTAACCTGCGTGCAGTGCATATTCACTAATGCACTTGCAAACATGTATTATTTGTATACATACAAATCAATGATTATTGTGAGGTTTTGGATTGATTAAAATCAAGAGATGGTCTAATTCTTGCTGAGCAACACATGCACTAGACATAAATATTTAGTCTAAACTTTCTGTTGTTGTAATATTACAAAAAATATGGAATTTGAAGAGCAAGTCCATTCAGACTTGATATCTGCTAGGATATTCTTCCTGAAAAAGCTCATAATTTTCTTTTTTCTTTTTTACTAAAACACAGCCTTCTCTTTAAAATAATTATAGATTAGTAACATACTGTGATAGCGTTGACACCCATGCTGCTTGTGCTTCTGCTGTTGTTCTTGTTGTTTCCATGTCTTTATTTCAAAGAAAGAGAAAAGATGAAAAGATGAATGATTATAAATTCATAAAAAGCCAAGTCCAATATGGTTTATGTCAGGAAAGCACAATATACAAATGTTTACGGTAATCAGATTTAGGCTGGTCTTAAAGTTCAGATTCGATGACAAGGCTAACAATATTTCTGTAATGCACTTAGAGACATCATAGATGTATTAAGTAGTATATAAACCCAGAATATTCTTCTGAATGTTATTAATTGTAGTACAAAGCATAGGAAAAGAAATATATCTGCTGTTATTTACCTCTCTTTAGAAATCTATCCATCTGATTGGTCGAAATTGTAGTTATGGTTTTAGCCATGCCCTCCCTACCGGTCAATAGTCTTTAAAAGATGCCCACATTCTTTTTAAGATACTATATGGGTTCCATATTCTATTTTTCTGTATTAAATAGGGTATGGAAAACCCAGGTACAGGTTGACACCTGCACATCCCAATTAGTTATACAGATAATTCCAGGCATGAGTAATAATAATAATATTAAAGATGATGATAATAATAACGATAACAACAACGATGATAATAATAACAGCTTAAGATGATAATAATGATGATAATTAAGATCCACAAAGAATTACACAGAGCAAATACGTACCATCGTATGGCAAGGTAAATTCATTCAAAATAGGTTTTTGATCCAAGGTGAATTTGTGAAACTTTTGGATTTCCTCCGACTCGAGTGGCTGCACTTCAAAGGAGGATTGTTTCCTGTCAACGAGGTTGATATCCCCTGTACCTAGTCTCTATTTTAAAAGAAGAAGGAATTCAAGGAAATTATTTCATTTTTCGAATTCATTTCCATTAAAAAAACAACTGATAATGTATAACATGTGGCTAAAAGTTCATCACGCCCTTAAATAAAATGATCATTTTCAAATTGCATATAAATCACATAATCATGGTAATGGTAATGGTTTTATTAAAAAAATTCATTTGCAGCCAGATGGTTGAATTGCAGAACTTTGTACATTGTAAAAACATAAATATTTATACACACATAAAACGTATTAAGACATATCACGCAGTGATTGAATTTTCTAAATAAATCAGTGTACACATATATAAACAAATTAATACAATTAATAAAATTCGCTTAACATTCTATTCCACATCACCATAGGGCTGGAGGGAAATATAGAAGAGAGGTAGGGAGGATAATAGTGCAGACAGCACGGGAGATCCAGGAAAAGTGTGAGATAGAGAAAGACAGAGAGGGGGAGAAAGAGAGAAAGGGAAAGAGGGAGAGAGAAAGAGAGACAAAGCGAGAGATAGAAAGATATATATATATAAGATAATGCTGAGGATGAGAGTATATTTTAGACATATCGAAAATAAGGTAAAAAGTACAATTTCGACAGAGAGAATACTTGTGGTAAAAAATGATAAATTACATTTTACATTTTCATTGGTGAGTTATGGATAACATATATTGTAAATTATACATATATTGTAAATTGGTCGGTACCTGGAAAAACAGGTATTAAAAAGCATGGAAATGCCCTGTCTGCTGGTCTCTCTTGAATCAACTTTTCTTGGTTCTCTTGATTTAAACATTTTGTGTATTGAGTTTTTATGAAAATATGATTGGAATTCCAGATGATAAGAATTCACTTAATAATTGTTTGCATCAAAAGAATGAAATTAAGCAGCTATGTAATGAGTACCGGTAGATACTCTAAATACACTGCACACAACAAAATATATTAGAGTTGAGTTTTGATCCAGTGCAACTGTGCACAGACTGCATTCTACTAGCTTAATGTGCTCTAAATATCCAGACCTGCCAAAAACTGTATTCTTTAATCCTAAAAGTTGTATTTTACTGACAAAAGTTGTTTTCTTAAAAATAAACACGGACTGTCACATGAATCAATGCCTCTTACAGTTCCTACATACAGAAAGAATTTTTTTAATGGATCATTGGTTGAATATGCATGATTTCGTCACGACTGTTGTGTTCGATGAACCAATGAACATCCCCAAATTGCCGATGTGAGATGCTTGTAGGATACTTGACAGGACAGAATGGGCATTTTGCCTTTGAAAATTGCACACACACAATTTGTTTTTGTTTTTTGAAAATCATATTTTATTGAGGGAAATCGTACTGTCGTATTTGCTTCTTAAAATCGTACGAAATACGACTAAATCGTACTGGTTGGCAGGTCTGAATATCCCTTTAATAAAAAGAATAATTTATAATCATGCAATTTTTTAACATTCAAGTTTGATAGTGATGGAGTTTGATGGAGAGACACTTGATATAGAATTTTGAATTGGTCACTGAACCTGTCATAAACTGACAGATCAATATCGATGATGAGTAATCCATTAACAGGTTCTCAAAATATAAAAGCTATTTTTCATATACATGGCTCTGCAAGATACATACTTGTCCTGAGTTTCATAGTAATCCATATGTTGGTTCTAATGACAATGCGATCACAAGCTATTTTTGCATACATAATGAGCCCCATGACCTTTGACCTCATAACCCCTAAGTCGAATCAGTTCATTGGCTCTGCAAGATACATACCGTACATGAACCAAGTTTAGCCACAATTCATCAATCGATTCTTGAGATAATGCGATCACAAGCATTTTTTGCATACATAATGAGCCCTGTGACCTTGTGACCCCAAAATCTTATCAGTTCATTGGCTCTGCAAGATACATAACCCAAGTTTGGTGGGAATCCATCAATCGGTTCTTGAAATAACGCGATCATGAAAACGGGACGTACGGTCGGACAAACCGGCTACTTCGTTGTGGAGGCATAAAAACAAAACAGACTGAAGGCGTGAGGCGTGTTTGCACGTAATATTGAATAAAATATATATTTAAAAAAAAAAAAAAAAAATGTGTGTGTTTGTGTGTTGCTGGTTTGTGTGTGCATTTGTGTGTTTCTGTAATTGTGTCTGTAAGTGTCTCTATAACGGGGGTGGGGGGGGGGGGGTAGAAATGGCAATACATAAAAAGAGATCCTTACTTTATTCATCTACACCTCTATCTTTCAAATACAGAACATACCTTCTCGTCTGAGACGTTATCCTCCTCATCTGAGGTGTTATCGTCCTCGTCCAAGACGTTTTCCTCCTCGTCCGAGACGCCATCCTCCTGGTCCGAGACGCCATCCTCCTGGTCCGAGACGCCATCCTCCTCTTCCGAGACGCCATCCTCCTCGTCCGAGACGCCATCCTCCTCGTCCGAGACGCCATCCTCCTCGTCCGAGACGCCATCCTCCTCGTCCGAGACGCCATCCTCCTCGTCTGAGAAGTTATCCTCCTCGTCTGAGACGTAATTCCTCCTGAATTGATGTTCAGGAAAGAAGATAAAATATAGGTTTGGGGGATAGGATCTTTGCCCTGTAACATTTGAAGTGACTAACAATCCAATCAATTGTAAAAATCTGTTGTATCTCCAGTTTTTCTACAATTAATTGTTTCTTATTAAGCATTGTATTTACCTGTAATAGAAAAGTAGTGGTAAGTTGCTATTATTTATTATGTTCCAATTTATTGAAGGAGATGTACAAACAATTTGTGATACTTTTAATGGTGAATTTCAATGTTACAGGGTCTAGGCACCAGAGGCGTGAGGTGGTATTCTAAAATTCAAATTATCTTTTATGCTAGTGAAAAAATGTTTCCTGTTAAAGCAAAGATAAAAATACCAGATACAAAATACCAGTATGTTACATTCAGGCCCCATTTCAAATGCACTCTGGGATAGTTAGGTGTCCAAGTCGCTTCGTGTCTATTTCACACATTATTTTGATTATGATTATGTGTGTGTACTTTATGTTCAGACAGTACCCACAGTGATTTATCACGATTCTCAACGATTTTAAGAGTGGATCATTACGTAAAAACGTATGAAAATATTTGTACACATACTAAAATTAACATATTTGGTGTTGTGATTGGAAAGAGCAAGTAGAAGCGTAGAAATAATAATGTCACCTTTCTTTGGTTATGTTCATTGGCAAGAGTGAAACCTTGTCTGAAATATTAAAGGACATGACTACATTAAAGGGTTCGTTTGCTTTTTAGACGATTAATGGACATACTACTTTTTGGTGGGGTAGTCTAATGTTAAGCCCGTCATTTTCTCTAAATTTCAAGAAGATCCTTTCATTGTTTTAATCTAGACATCTATAAGATTTGGAGGATCTTTCTCTTGTTTGTCATTGCTGCCGTCACCAAAAATAAAGAACCTAGATGTAGCTTTCAGAGACGTACCTATATACATTGGCTCAAAATTACTTCAGAGAGGCTACATCTGTGCATTTTGGGCATATTGGCGATAGCGAGAATTTCTATGTAAAGCTGGCTATGTATTTGTACAGTTTAGAGATAAATCTGCACCAACACCTACAATTAGTCCCATTCCATGCAATCTCAATTTATGATAATTAACATAATTTTCACTTTTTGAATGTAGCAGACAACATAAGGTATAGTGCACAGAATACAACCCAAGAAAACTAAAACATATGTTTATTGGGGACACTTGTATATATTGTTCACAGCCGTCAGGCTGAATAGGATAGGTGCCTAACCGGCATCATCAAGAGCAGACAGATCCTGTAATGAACGAATAAAACATCCACCATTTTTTTATACGAAAAATATCCTAGATCCTTGTTATTTGATTTAAAGAGACTTTCAAGATTGTTCTTAGTAATTATCGCTGATAAATAAATCCAAATTTAATAGGCTTAATTTAGCGCGAACACAGGGATAAGGGCACTTACCTCTACAAGCATCAATGCACAGTGATATACATGTATTAATCCACACACAGTATATACAGCATATTAAACTCTACATGCCCTGCTGTGGAAAGATCGTTAAATAGTACTAGAAACTATAGCATGCTTTTTCATGGAAAAACATGTAATATTCTCAGTAAAGGAATCACACATGACCCTGCTTAACCAATCATTTGATTAGGATCTAGGAGTAAGTTGTATAGCAATAAAATGAATTTGTAATTCATTATGTTTAATAGTTCACTTACCGTGGAGAGTCAGTGAGTGACTGCAGGAATGAATCAAAATCCGCTTGGTACTTTCCATTGAACATGAAATTTCCATTACTGAATTGAGGAAAAGAATCCTGAAAAGAAATGTATGGGCATGCTTGGTGATAGTGATTCATGTAGTTTTCCTCCATTCAAGTCTGGCTGAAATACTATACCATACATGTACATACCAGGTCAGTACTCTCTCTGGCATATAGACTTAGTGTCCTTGTTACACTGACACCTCCTATACACCGCCCCTCCCCACCAAATACACACACATACAAAAAAGCTATGTTGATTGAACTGGTCAATATTTCAACAGAACTTTATGCTGACACCCCCTCCTCCCTTATCATGCACCTGTCCAAAACATCAAGAACAAAAACAAAAAACTGTGCTTAAAATAAGTACACTGTGATCAAGATCTGCATCCTTGTTTAGTGACTATTCAATCTGACGTATACTCTCAGACCCATGATGACATTATTCAAACCTTATGAATTGATTTGAACTATTTGTATTTATTAGTCTTTAGAGTACTTCAGTGATCTGTTTATACTGAAATTGTATTATTGCGTAACTAGTAACACAACACTCTCCCCCCCCAAAAAAAAAAAAATAGATGGAATTCGACTGCGCGCAGTCGAAAATGATGCCTCCGTCATAGAGCAATATTACAAACCAAAACAGAAGAAATTTTTCGAATTCAAGTTCAATTGTAATTCATTAACAGGTTCTCAGAATATCGTGATTACAAGCAATTTCTCATATACATATATGACCCTTTGATCTTTGACCTCATGACCCTAAAATCTACTCAGTTCATTGGCTCTGCAAGATGTCCTGAGTTAAATAGTAATCCATCTGTCAGTTCTAATGAGAATGCGTTCACAAGCTATTTTTGCATACATAATGAGCCCATGACCTTTGACCTTATAAACCAAGAATCTACTCAGTTCATTGGCTCTGCAAGTAACATACATGACCTAATTTTGGCAGGAATCCATCAATCGGCTCTTGAGATAACGCGATCACAAGCTGCTTTTGCATACATAATGAGCCCTGTGACCTTTGACCTTTGACCTCGTGACCCCAAAATCTAATCAGTTCATTGGCTCTGCAAGATACATACATGACTAAAGTTTGGCAGGAATCCATCAATCGGTTCTTCAGATAACGTGATCACGAGCTGTTTTTGCATACATAATGAGCCCTGTGACCTTTGACCTTTGACCTCGCGACCCCAAAATCTAATCATTTCATTGGCTTTGCAAGATACATACATGACCAAAGTTTGGCAGGAATCCATCAATCGGTTCTTCAGATAACGCGATCACGAGCTGTTTTTGCATACATAATGAGCCCTGTGACCTTTGACCTCGTGACCCCAAAATCTAATCAGTTCATCGGCTCTGCAAGATACATACATGACCAAAGTTTGGCAGGAATCCATCAATCGGTTCTTCAGATAACGTGATCACGAGAACGGGACGTACGTACATATAGACGTGTGTACAGACTTACGGACAGACGGACGGACAACCCGAAAACATAATGCCTCCGGCTACTTCGTAACTGAGGCATAAAAACTCCTTAAACTCATCTCCACTGCTGCATGTGTACATGAATTCATCATGACATGGATATAGAGTACAAACACACATACATACCTGTAAGGTTGACGCCTTTGCATTCAGTGTAGAATAGAACTCCTCCTGGAACTCCTTTCCAACTAGTTCCAGGCAAGTCAGGTTTGGCATGGAACACAAAGCATCTGCTAGGTAATGTGAAGAGGCTGATGTTGGACACCTAACATCTTCAAGCCAGACAGTGTCGACCTACATGTATACAAACAGTGATTCATACAAGTACATTACCAGAGTACACATTTTCATTGAATTACTGCAAATATAACTGGGTGCTCTGATATACATGTATGTGTATGGCTATGCTTGGGTGACAAATGCAATGGGCTTTATATAGTCAAATATAGGATTTGGATAAGGGCTACAAATAGGTTTGAGCTCAGGTTTAGTGATAGGAATACTTTTTGGTGCAGGGATCAAGTCCCCCCCCCCCCAAAAAAAAAAGCTTACTTAAAAACTTTAAGTTAGTCTTCATTAAACCAAAATATCTTTTCTGAGGCAATCCTTTAAAAGTGATGTTTTTTGCAGAACATCATATTTTTAACTCGAGCCATCTGAATTCTGTATCTTACACTGCACATGAAAACCCCTCTTTTTATAATACTGTTCCTTTGTCTGCTAAGACTTTTATACATTTTCATATAAAAAAATTAACACGTTGACAAAATATTGACAGCATGTTGCTAAAATATCATAACTCCTTAAATTCATCTCCACTGCTGCATGTGTACCTGAATTCATCATGGCATGGATATAGAGTACAAACACACATACATACCTGTAAGGTTGACGCTTTTGCATTCAGTGTAGAATAGAACTCCTCCTGGAAATCCTGTCCATCTAGTCTCAGTTCAGTCAGGTTTGGCATGGAACACAAAGCATCTACTAGGTAATGTGAAGAGGTTGATGTTGGACACCTAACACCATCAAGCACGACATATTGGACCTACATGTATACAAACAGTGATTCATACAAGTACATTACCAGAGTACACGTTTTCATTGAATTACTGCAAATATAACTGGGTGCTCTGATATACATGTATGTGTATGGCTATGCTTGGGTGACAAATGCAATGGGCTTTATATAGTCAAATATAGGATTTGGATAAGGGCTGCAAATAGGTTTGAGCTCAGGTTTAGTGATAGGAATACTTTTTGGTGCAGGGATCAAGTTAAGAATTTGGTTAGTACAGGATGGAAAGCACAGAAAAATTGTTGATGGGCATGCGATCAGAAATCGGTTAGTTCAGGGTAGTTGGCGCAAAAAATGCATCAAAAAAGATTTATAGGACTAACTTTTACTATTATAGCCGTAGTACATGTAACTACTGCGTATTCATCTGAGTAATTGCATCCATCCAAAATATTTATGAACAAAAACAAACACAGGACGCTGAGTAATACCCAGCTCATCTTGAACATAACTACAACATGAAGGTTACGTTAATTTGCCAAAAAGATTCTCAATTTCATTAATTTACATATACTTCTAGATCAACATGTATGTTTCTCTTTATATAACTTTTGTTTACTAGCTGTCATCATGTGAGGCACTCAACATCATGAAGGCAGAGAGTCTTGATCTGTACACAAATTGAATGACTGAAATAGGTTTAACCCTATTTAGCCCGGGCTATTTTGAAACTGCATAGCCCGGGGGGGGGGGGGGGGGGCTTCTAAGGCCCCCCCCCCTATGATCTCGGCCGTGAAATGCCCGATCGTCGCGAAAATTTGCATACATGTCTAGTGAAGTGTATAGAATACTATGGTAATTTCAATTTTTAGAAAAATTCACTCAGCATATTTATGGTAATTTATGCAAATAAGGTCATCAAATTCACATTTTTGCCCATAAATCAAACATTATTCATATTTTAAGCATTCTTTCTCACTACATATATTTGTTAGACCATTTGGAATAATAATACAACATAAAAATAGAAAAACCAGGGTTATTCCTTATGTTATCTATTGTTTTGATAATTTTTTATGTATTTCTTTGTTTTTTTAACTAATGTATTTCATTGTTTTTATTGTTTTATTTTATTTCCAACTATAATTCAACTATTTGGACCCAAAAATAAACACCTAAACTATAAACAAGACCAAATAACCAATGTTTTATCTCTTTATTTGAAAAATGAAATTTCCATATGTTTTGTACACAAATCACAAAAATGAGCGATTTTCGGGCTGACATGCAAAGACAAAATGACACGTGACTTCATAATGATAGGTTTGATTTTCAAAAAAATTCTTTCAAAAGATGCGCAAGACTCGAAAGAAAAAAGTCACAAAATTTCAGTGCAACATTTTCTTGCGTTTAAAAATTATCGCGTAAAATGTCGAGGGGGGGGGGGCTTCTAAAGCCCCCCCCCCCCCCCCGGGCTAAATAGGGTTAACACAGGTAGATGGAGGGGGAGCAGGAATTTTGTAAACATGTGGTCAGAGACCGCATCAATGAAAGGGTCTTGTTGGGGCTAGTATTTATTTGCACAGAGTAGTTTTCCCAATATTAGTCCTTTGTATACTTTTATAAGTTAAATCAGACAGTGAGAAGTCAGAATGTGTATTATTTATATGTTTTGAAATACTTAGTACCTTCAGGTGATTTTTATGTACATTATAGTAAGATCAAAAGTGCATGAAAATATAAGGCCTTTGTCAAGAGTCAGGGATAGACAGTCCAATAGGATATAACCATAATGAAGATTCAGGTAAGAGGAAGATCAGGAATTCCTGAGCGTAGGAGCGAATTGCAGTGATTCTACTGTTTTTTAGAGGTATGTGAATTAAATGCAAATCTTCTCAGTAAAATATTCAGTATAGCACCTTTTCATTGTAATTCAAATATTTAGACCAGCATTGCTAAAGAATGATAATTTTATTTACAAGCGTAAAATGATTATGATGATTATAATAACAGATGTTATATTGTACATGAAAGTGGTCTAGCTATAGAACATATACATTCCTTACTATAATTTTCCTTTGTGGTTCGTATTATGTGGCCTGCTATGTTTTAATAATTTGTATGTACTATAGTTCTGTTGAATGAAGACATAATACCATCAAGGCAACAACAAAATAGCTGAATACCTAGGGGGCAAAACCTTAATTTGGGGGGTTTGGTCGGGATGTTGTAGGTCGGTCGGTATAAATATGATCAGAGGATCTTCCTGCACAATTTCTAGGTGGACTACCCTGACAATATTTTTCTGGAAAAAAAATAGTCATTAGAAGATAATTTTTAACAGAACATCATTTTACCATGCATGTGATATCAATGAAAGAAAATTCAATTATCTACAATAATAATAATAAATAATAGGATAATTATATAGCACCAGTATCCGCCAAGCTCTGACGCTCATGGTGCTTTACGCATATTACCCTGGTCGTAGCCGAGCTGCCAAAGTAACTAGTGCTGAATAATACCAGGTACCCATTTACACCTGGTGGAGTTATTTCTCCATATTTCAATCACTTTTGAAACTGAAGAATTAAAAATATATAGAAACCCTTCCTAATATTAGTTGAATACGATCTGAAAATTACAGGTTCATTGATTTTTATGTAAAAAAATGTATAGCGTAGTAAAGTTCATTTTGGACAATATGCACAGACCAGTTCCTTGATGATACGTTTAACGTGCGTCGTTATTGCCGCATATCTGTCATGTTTGCCCTTGCAACTGAAACATGAATCATCTAATTGCATTCTATCCTTTTTCTTAATGATTGAAGGGACAGTGAAAGGTTGGGCTGGGCGATGGGGGAGACACAAGTGGCAGGGGCAATTCATAAATTCCCCCGAAAATTAGTAATTCTGATTTGTAATTAAAACAAATTGTGTAAGGTAATTGTAGAATCTTGGTTTTATGACATCGTCAAATAAAACATAGAATCCTGTCTGGATCTACAAATATTTTAATGAAGTTCTATAAATGACTAATCCAGAAAAACAGAATATTCCGGATTATTTGTAAGGGTTGGCAGGTATGTAATATTAGTTGAATATGATCTGAAAATTACAGATGTTTTGCTTTTCATGTAAAAAAAGTTATAGCATAACAAAGTTCATTTTGGACAATATGCAGTTTAGTTCCCTGATAATACATTTAATATGAGTCATCATTGCCGCATACCGTATGTGTCAAGTTTGCAACTGAAACGTGAATGATTAATTGCATTCTTCCCTTTTTCTATAAATGACTAAACAGAGTTGTTAGCAACATCAGAGAGACAGGAAATCAAACATTACAAGTACATTTCAACTAATAGAATGATGAAGAAACTATCAGAAACTTCCTAACCAGCTTGAACCTTTTGGTATGAGGTAGGAATTTCAGTTGCAGGTTTGAGGATGTAGTAAGTTTTGCTAACTCAAATCAGAATATTTTTACTCTTAGCAAACTTTTGGATTATTGATAAAATATTATCTAGCAGCGTGTTACAGAATTTCCGTATGTAATCATCTGGCATCACTATGGAGCAATCCTGAAGATTCTTCTCAAGGACTCTGTATAACAACATTACCTGATGTAAATATAAGAGAAAGTGAACCAATAAATATATAGTTTCTTATAATAGTTCCACTTTAACACTTGTAGATTAGAATAAACCTTAATATAATGTAGCATAAATTTTGTTCCATCTTGTGTTTTGTATCACAACACTTAAATCGGATTTGCAACCTTTTGTGATGACTTTACATGTTTGTTACATCCAATGCTCCTGTTAATCCAATACTAATATACCTGTTACCCCCATCTCAATGTTGTTTTATTATTGATATAGGTATAAGAGGGTGACATTGACCAAAGCAACCTCATACTAGATGAACTTCAGAATTCCTGGGTCTGTCTTTTAAGATCTTACAAGAATTACAAGAAAGAGTGAAAGTTTGCCTGCTAATGTAAAGTAACATTTCAAAGTTAGGTTTATATGAAATATAAATACAGTGCAACTATTATTCAAATGATACACCCCTCTATATTATAGGTTCCTACAGCAAGATGAGTAACCAGCCAAGAAAACGTGTGGCAGATAGTGCCATGTCCCGGCATGTGCCTGCTAAGAAGTCTTCCAAAGATATGAGCACTGACTACACAAAATGCATCATATGCCAACAAGAATCTGTGATAAGCCTATTCTTCATCCAGTTACGTGTGTAACAACATATATGAACAAATTTAAGGCTCTTCGCATTCTGGTCGGTCAAAGTTAAACCCTTATGATGTTGTAGATGAGCTGGAAGCTCCTCTTTTCCAGCTCCTGGTCTGTCCACATTCCTCGTAGAATCATCCGCGTAAGGTATCGAGACATTCTTGAGGAGCTTGGTGTCGATAAAGGAGATAAATACCGGGCGACCATCTTGAAACATACATTACATGAATACTATGGGTCACATATTTTGGTTCTCAATCAAACCAAAGGTTCAGGATTTATATGTGCTTCCACATTACCACTTGGTGACGCACTGAAAAAACTGAGGCGCCTAGAAGGAGATGATATCGAGGGAAAACACCATACACTCCTGCAAGCATCAAAGATTCTTAGAGCAGATTGTGAAGTGTAAGAAAGAGATGTGTGAGAAAAATTCAACTGAGATTTCATTCACATCTGCATACAATATGGTTCCAGACTCACTCACTCTTCAGATGGCCATGCAGACTGAGGACGTTCTGCTTATGTGGCGCCTCGGTAGAATGATCACAACTTCGCAACTGGTGGATGCTCCTAGAGTTTTAGAAGCAGGACTTCCGGGCTTTTCCTCATTCCGTGCTGACCTCCATCCACATAGACAGGCTAGAATCATTAGCTATCTTCCTCTGATCCCATCTTCTCCAACTAACCCTACTGTACTAAAGGAAATGATGATTTGACGTGTCAGGACATCACATGCACGTCGTAACAAATACACAATTATAACTGGAGATCA